TTGTGTGCGTATCCCCACCACTTCAGTGTTTTCGGTGCTGGCCGGCTCGAGTCTTGCGACGAAAGACCGGTGACGCGATAGACAGCGCGATTGCCCGTCTCACTTTAAAAGAAGGACGGAATAACTTAACCACTGAGGGCGCCACTTTCCGGGCAGAGACCCCAGTGCGGACTTCGGGTCTTACTCCAGGACCCTCTTAATGCAGCTGTTAGCATTTGAAATACTTTTATATATAAGTTGTGTAAAACTTCGGCGAATGAATATAACGGATTTCTATAAAGGAAAACATGAATCTGTAGGAGTTACCCGGTTTACGTATCTTTGATAGACCGTAAGCTGTAGGTAGAAAACCGTCACTAGATCTGATCGCTTCATATGTTAAATCATTAATGAATTTTTTTTCTACTCAGTTTCTTAGCATAACATTCAAATTATCTTCAATTTTTTAAATCAGATTCGGCTGTGGTACGGTATAACCCAATCAAAGTTCAGTAATGACACTGCACATGATGAAAGACTATTACATGAGAAACATACGTGTCAAGTTTTAATTTCGGTATATTAAAGATGCTGAAGATATACGCAAGCTGATATACTGAGGTGTAAATATGCATTTTAAGTCACATCTCATCGATTTTCGTCTCATTTTTGTTGCGCTTAAGATATGTTGTAGGGCACATCGTACTGAGTAATTTTCTGCCAAAATTTTACAAAAGACAGCTTTGGTCTAAGAGATATGACAATTTAAATTTTCTGAATTTAGTAAAGGCACAATGGTACCGCTTCGATCTTTGTGAAACTTGGTATCTTTATGTATTTTTAGTCGCTGAAAATGAATGTGAAAGAATTTTTTGTTGGTCAGACATTCAAGCCACTATCTTAAAAAAACATGTAAAAAAAGCGATTTTCATGATTATTTATGGAGTGTGCAGATGAGGTTTTGCTCCTTTCCCTGCAGGGAAGACAAGGTCTCTCTTTCGGAGAAGGGCCAAGCTCTTCTGCCTACACAAGACATGAACATAAAAATACTTTTTGTATTTAAAAAAAACAAAAATACTTTTGTTTATGTTTTTTTATAATCGTATTGTAAATATATAGGCAAGAGGGGCTTTGCTCCCCTCTCTCAAGGAGGCTTTGCCGTTTTGCACTTCCTGAATAATTGTCCGTTATAGACCTCCAATACGTAGATATTATACTTTGATGTTTAGTATGTCTATGTTATTTGTTGTTTTGACTTGTTGTGCTTGCGGACGCGCATTAGATAGTCTTTGTGATGACTTGTCGAGGTTAGGTGCATACATAGGTCTTCAAAAAATTTTTGTATGTATCTTTTTGTATATATTTTTCTGTCTAACGGATGTTTTTCTATTCTATTATATTTTTGTTTTGTATTCAGTGCTGAAGATGATCACCAATAAAATGTGATCGAAACGTCCGGAATACACTGTGTTTTAAGTTGTTTTTGATTTTTCATCTTCAACTTGGACCACATGCTTTTTGATTATTCTTCTTTTAATCCGTTCTTTATTATTTGAATCTTTCCTTCCGGAAATAAGAAGATTGATAAAATTTTCACTTACCAAGTCCTGGCATATGTGACTTGTGTTATTCTATATTCTCAGCACTTGTACAATAGGGAGCACCATATCGTGCGGCTCCAAGGGAAGTATTTCTCGGAAATTTCTTCTTTAGCTGCTCCTATTACTGCGCGCTCTTCTCCTTCGATCTCGGACCGTTGGCGGAGACCGAAGAAGAACGGGGTGCGATAGTATAAAGCATCCAAAGGAGAAATTTCCGAAAAATATTTCCCCTGGAGCCGCACGATATGGTGCTCTCTACTGTACATATATCTAATATCTACTTTTTGCTTTCAAATAGTTTGTTTTTCTGATTTACTCTTTTTCTTCCTTGTCGATGCGCACAGTATAGTTTTGTGTGCAGATCGATTTCCTGCATCATGTATTTTGTCAAATTAATCTCCTGCTCTCTATCTGGAATCATTCCTTTTTCTTCACCATGCTTTAGTTTTTAAACATGAATTTACTTTTAACTCTCAGGATGTAATACTTTTACCATATTTTATTACTTCGTCTTATGTTATACTTTATATTACAATAACTTGTACGTATTTGTGAATACATAAACAATCTTCTGTTACAATTGCAGAGGTTGCCAATTTGCTTTATTAAACCTACGAGAGAGCGGCTTATAGCTCAGTTATACGATAGATCTGTGTGGGATTAGTAACCGGAAGATTCCAGATTCGAATTCGGCTTGAACACAGTCAGATTTTTACGCTTTTCTTCCGGTGAGCTGACAACTTATTAAAATTGCTCCTGCAATACACAATTTTGTAAAACTCTGTTGAGTATATTTGAAAGATGCAGAACTAACAATAAGTATGATATTTGGCTCTACTCATCTGATTAATATAAAATTTGTTCCAGTTGAATCGATCACACTACAATGATTGAAGTACTATTGTTTATTATTTTTCTTATATCGATGTATCATTTTTATTTACACTATGGCAAAACAGGAAGATTGATTAATTTAATTTCCGGACCACCAACCATATCAATATTAGGAAATTCCCTTTTGTTCAACGTTCCATTAGGTAAGGAAGAAAGAAGATTTAATTTAATCAAATTGCCTTCCAACTTGTCAATGTTATTATAAAGAACAATAATATATTTCCAAGTTCTTTTTATCTTAAACTGTTTACTTGTGAACAGTATACATAAACGTGTAACCTGACTACATACTTAATGCAGACTTTTTTCGATAATCTATTAAGAATGCTTTGATATTTTTTTTGAAATAAATATCATTTGTCATAAACTAAATATAATTATTATACAATTCTTATATTTTTGTAATTATTTTGCAACTATTGTGAAAACGATATCACATATAATACACTTTCTTTTTGAAATCTGATAAAAGTATACTTTTATTTATATTTTTCAGATAAACTATGGCAAGTACTATGTAAATTATAGAATCAGTATTATCCAATTGTAAGATTATGGATATGTCATATGCCATGGATAATAATCTGTCATCCAGATGACTAAAAGTGTGATATACAAATATAATTTATTTTTGATCTTTTTTAAATTTTTGTGATAATTCAATACTATATACATATATATAAATCAACAATTAAGAAGTATCGATTCTGAGAAATATTTATTGTGACGTGACATTTTTCGTGTCCATCACAAGGATAAATTTCCGGTCGGCACAGGAGACGGTGAGTTCGCGTTTCCCACTATTTTAGAGACTCCACTCTTTTGGTAAGATTATACTTCTTACTAGAACATAGAGATGTAACAAAAGAAAAAATGTTTTTATAATATAAACAATATTTAATGCAAAAAACCTTGACGCGGTTGCATTAGACTGTCACATAATAAAATAATTTTATTATAATTGAGGAGCAGCCGCGCCAAGTGTTTTTGCATTAAATATTGTTTATATTATAAAAAAAATTTAGTTTTGTTATTTCTTTATGTTTTAATATAATAAATACAATCTTACTAAAGTACATAGTTATGTGTACTTAGGATTACTTATTAATAATCACGAATAAAAGTTAAAGCTTAGTCTTATCTACTATAGACACATTTATGTTGTTGTATATTGTTTTTCAACGAAAAACAGGTTTTTTTGGAAAAAAATGTTTTACCAAGAAATATATAAGGCCTTACGAGCCGTTTCTAAGATGTTGGGCGGAAACTGTACGTGTATATATCAGTAGGGAGCACCATATCGTGCGGCTCCAGGGGAAGTATTTTTCGGGAATTTTTCCTTTGACTGCTTCTACTGTCGCGCGTCGTTCTCCTTCGATCTCTGCCACCAGCCCGAGATCGAAGGAGAGCAGCGCGCAGTAATAGGAGCAGCTAGAAAAACAATTTCCAAGAAATACTTCCCCTGGAGCCGCACGATATGGTGCTCCCTACTGATATATATGTGTATATGCATACACATGTAACAAGTTCAACTTGAAAATTTTTACAAGTGAGTATTTTTTGACTTGAAATCTCAATTCTTGAATTCATACGGAATGCTGGATTTGCATCTCACATATGACAGATCCCGGATACTCCCCTAACTAATTTTTAAAATATTTCGAAAAAAACTCCTCGGCAATAAGTTGAACCTGGAATCTCCGGCTTTCCGTGCCATCGCCTTCCCTGTTAGGCCACCTAGGCACTTGGAGTTTGTCTCACAATATTCGTAATTTTATCCAAGATGATCTGATACTGCCGTAACGCTTTCTTCTAACGGCGTAAATTAACAATTAATAGAATCTTTAAAAGTTCAGAGCCTTAAAAGTATTCCATACTAAAAAGAAACAATATTTAGAAAAAAGAATATTTTAAATATTGTATTAGTGTAATTACAAAGATTAACTATTATTTGTTTGTATTTTCTGTAAGAGTCTTTCCATAAAATAAATAAGCAAATAAATAATCATTATCACTATCTCTCAATATTAATACATTCGAGATCGATGACTCAGCATGTGGGTCATGTCAATGAACATATGGGCTATGTCTAATTTTGTGAATACTTTTGTTATAGGATGTCAGTCTCAACATGTTGTTAATGTCTCAAATAATAGTTAATCTTTGTAATTACACTAATACAATATTTAAAATATTCTTTTTTCTAAATATTGTTTCTTTTTAGTATGGAATACTTTTAAGGCTCTGAACTTTTAAAGATTCTATTAATTGTTAATTTACGCCGTTAGAAGAAAGCGTTACGGCAGTATATTATTGACACATCTCAGTATTAGAATTATTTAGTGTGATTAGCAAAATATGCGAGTAATTGCTAATTTGCTAATCAAAATGAAACATTCTAATGACAGAATCGCTTTCGCATTCAGCCATCGTTATTTTCCATCTTCCATTATGTATATGATATAATATATATTGTTATATTAGCTCCTCCTGTACTGTTGCTACGGGTAACAACCGCGAGCGCGCGAAGCGCGTCGGGCTGTCTTACGCGCGTGAGACGACCCGTTGCATGCTTATTCGCGGATCTTTGTTAATTAACATCTCGATAACTATTGCGAATCTAGCAAAATGGTATAGGACTTTTCGACTCAGTTTTACTCTTTCTACCTGCCTACGAGAGATGTTAAAGTAATTGTCGGACACTCTGTATATATGTATGTAACATATACATATATACGTACAGTTTCCGCTCAACATCTTGGAAACGGCTCGTAAGGCCTTATATAATTTGTGGTTTAACTTTCAACGAGCCTTAAAATCATTATTAAAAAATGTTTTGTAGTATATAATAACAGAAAAAAGTTAAGGCATAGTCTTACTTTTGACACAAGTATGTTATTGTAAACTGTAGTTTTATTCGATATTGTTTTCTATTGTATATTGTTTTTCAATATAATAACGTACAAAAGTGTACTTGATGCTACTTTTTAATATCACTTCTTTTGTAAAACAAGTTTTTAAAGAAAAAATGTTTTGTAGTATATAATGTTGTAGAACAGGTTTTGTAGAAAAAGAATTGTTTGTAGTATTAAATCAATTTTTAACTTATTAATTTAAATACAATACGTGTTGTGCGTGTATTTGGCGCCTGTTCTTACTTTTTTTTGAAAAAGTAAGTTTTTCGAGACATCACACATTTTGTATTTTGTAGTATTATTTTATTTTGTAAAACAAGTCTTATAAAAATTATAAATTACACGGTAATTTCAATTAACAAAGCAGCCAATCGAACTATTTTTCCGCTGCTGCCTGTTTAGTGTTTGCCGCGCCTGCCGTTATCGTGTGCGTTTGTATTCCAGCGCCTTTGTGTCATCTTGCAGTTACTTCCGCGCGATTATCTTTTGCTGATACAGCTCGCGGTCGCGTATGCTAAGCGAGACCGAAGAACTAACTTACTTTACCGTGATTGTAAGTCATACGCGACGTATTAAATTAAATAACGATTGTTACGTACTGCTACTATTTATTGTATGCCGCATTTTTTGTACAGCCACTAGAGCGCTGCCGAGTGCAGGCAATAAATATTCTTTGTTATATTTTTTTACGTCTGATTTAGTTGTTAATAGATTAAGTTTCTCTGCCTTATATTATACTGCCTCCTGAACACACGCCTCTCCGGATTTATTAACTTAAAAACTTAGCTGCCGGAAATAAATGCCGTCACGTTATTGAAATAAAACTGAGTCTTGGAGACTCGGATTTGTGAAAATGGCGTGAACTCGCGCATGGCGCCCAATTACTTAATTTCTCGCAAGTAGAGGTTTGATTTATCACCTTTGTAAAGGATGTACCGAAAGTGTGCCGCACACGCATCGTCGTAATAAAATCCGAAGGAAAGTGCGTGTCACATTATATATTATATTTATACATCCTGTAATGATGGATTCGCCGATCACTGTCGCGATTCTTTCTCTTGCCACAAAAAGCGTATTGAAGTCGCTCGAGTGGACGCGCCGTGTCCTTTTTTAAAAGAATCCAACTCGTTTCGTTAATTTTATATTAAATATTGTAGTTTTTACCGCTTTTATATCATTCTTGCGACATGGCACCTTACCGTTATCGAAGGATTCCACCGGCAACAAGGAAATATTTAAAAAAATATTTAAAAAAATATTTAAAAAAATTTAAAAAGAGAATGCGGAGCAAAAAGGCAAACAAGCGAAAGAATAGCGGAAGACGCACGAGATTCAGAACAACAAATCGGTGACAGCAGACAGCGCTGTCTAAGAGCAAATCGCACTGACGACTTTAGCGGCCGAAAATTATTGCTTTGTCACGCAACGACACAAATAGCACGCCAGGAAAAAACTTTTTCAACAAACAAGCAAAAGAAAGAGCTTCAAGCATTTGGAAATTTTAACTTAACATTCTTCAAAGAAATTTTGCAGCCAGTAGCCCATCGGTGGTTGGACTCTCTAATGGTTTAAAATAAATAACACATTAACTACTCACTCAAATGAAGTAAAACGGGACGTTTCGATCACTGTTTATTTCTGATCATCATTAGCCATTTTACAAATTAGCATAATAAAGATATTAGAAAAAATCTGTCAATGGTTACATTTATTTTAAATCTCGCAAAAAAGTAAGGTACAAAGTAACGGTACACACCATGTGACAATTTAAAAAAGCAAAAAGAAGAAAGAAAACTGTGGTCATGTATTGATAAGTAGGATAGTCAAACCAATAGCAAAAACAGCATGAAAAGATTGTCTTAGCATTTATGATTCTGTAATAATCGTGGTGAGAAAAAAAACTTAAGTTAATACTATTCTGTGGATATAAGAACCGTTAGTACTTAGTGCAGTGCCACGGGAATCTAGCATCACATTTTTTTGAATTTGTAGAATTTTTTATGTAATCGGCGGAACTAATGATGCTGTCTAGAAGAAAGTGTAGAACTATCGAAAGTGTAAATAGAACTCATGTCAAAAATTGCACTTTTTGAGTTTGCGGTGTCATCTTTGGATGAATACTCTTAGAAATGATCTTGTGCAAAAACAATGCAAGGTTGTGTAAAGGACTGTTAATTGAAGAAATAATTATTCTGAGTGGATTACCGGATTTATGGATCTTTGGGACACCGTAAGCTCTAGGGAGAATGGGTAACGATGAGTTTAAATTACGATGAGAGATGTCCGAGATAAAGAGACTGACACACATCCCGTTTTTTACAGTCTCAACAAATTGTCCAAATTCATTAAAGTACAAAAAGATCCTATACCCCCTCTTTCTTGTCCTTTTGTTGTCTATAAAATTAAGTGCAAGGATTGTGAGGCTTTCTATGTAGGCCAGACTGGTAGGATTTTACAGTCCAGAATCAACGAACATAAAAATCATATTAAACGAAACACCACGCAAACCTCTGTTATTACAGATCATAGAATTAATTATTCTCACGATTTTATTTGGGATAATGTCAAGATTTTTGATTGTGAAAGACACTATCATAAACGTTTAATTTCTGAAACGCTACATATTAAAAAACAAACTCACGGCCTCAATTTGCATAGTGACACGGAGAACCTCGATAAGTCTTATTTACCATTTGTTGTTAATACAGCTTAAGTTCTCCTATGCGCATGTCTCAACCTGTGATTTCACTGTTCAATTTGATGTCTTTTCAAATTTTCAGTCATGCACAGCTCTTGTTGCGATACGACTTGTAACATCTTAATTATCATTATTCATCTTGTTTGTACGAAGTTTTGTTAAACAGCACATATCTGTAAGTTAACATATCAATCTCATATTGTGTATTTACGTTTATAAAAAACTCTTAATATTTTGCTATATTATATTTGTAGAATTTGATAAAGACCTAAACCGAAGGTCGAAACGTTGTTATGCTTCATTTATATACATCATGAATAAATAATATTACCATCACATATTCGCACAACAACACCCATGTATTTAGTTCCAACTGCCTGTCACATTGAAATTTATATATTTTTAAAACTATTTGTCCTTTCTTTGAATTATCTTTCATATATTCTTTATCTAGGCAATATTAGGCAGTATGAAACATACTGAAAAAGGTGTTATGTATACTCTTTCTCATTCTTGGCTTCGGACCGGTCTTCTCAGTAGCGGAAGTAACATAACAGTAATTAAGTAATGTGTTGAAATATTTTCCAACCTTCATCAATATTATGGTAATGCAAGTAAAAGATCACTCAAAAATATCTGGTAACACAATTTTGCACATTATTTTTTCTGTTTTTCAGGTAACAAATGGCAAACACGGCGAAAACTTTTAACTCCTACTTTTCATTATAATGTACTGAAAAACTTTGTTGATATTTTCGTCAAGGAGACAAATAAAATGATTGTAAACTTGAAAAATAATAAAAGACCAGTTATAAAAGAGTTACGGCCATTTGTAAGCGAACATATACTGAACTTAATATGCGGTAATCTGTGTTTTATTGTTGTATTTATTATATCTATTTTGAATACAATTTAAAAATAATAGAAAATTTGGTTTTGTTTATCAAGACTATGATAAATTAAACATCAATAATGTTAATAAGCATGTACTTTTTAGAAACAGCTATGGACGTTTCGCTAAACAATTCTACTGGATCCAAAACTTACCGTCATGCTTTTGAACAGATGAGTGATATTCTTATGCATAGGTAAATTATAACTATATATGACAACTATCAATTATTTTCTTTAGCATATTAATGTACAGTACTCACATAAAGTTTTCGATTTAGAGTTACAAGACCTTGGCTATATAAAGAGTGGATAAATGCATTGTTTCCAACAGGCAGGCAACAGAAAAGTTCTGAAGACCTTACATGGTTTCACAGAAAAAGTACGTAAAAGTAGTTCACCTGTGATCAGGTGATACTAATAATAAGTTATAATAATATAACAAAACAAGAAGATAAATAAAAGGCTAATAAGAAAAGATACTATATTCTGTGTATGTATTTGTAGATTATTGCGGAGAGGAAACATTATCATAAAATTGAGTAGATAAGTCCTCGTGAAATCTTCGTAACGTTCGGACAAGGCCAATACGAGGAAGAAACAAGTTGTTTGCGTATTGAGTGTAGATATTTATTAACTTAAAAATACCAAACGTTTCGATCCTGGTTTTGGATCATCTTCAGTGGTAACTACAAAGTTTAATATAAAGGAATATAAATAGTGTTCGTGTATAATGGATTTTTTACAAAAACCAAACAAGTATTTAAATGTCATCAAACTTACAATGCTTTTTTCGAAAAAATAATTAAACAAGGTCTTGCATCAGCAAGTGAAGACAATGCTCGTAAAAATACAATTCAATTCCTAAGTGGTGTCTAAAAAGTATTCGTGAGTTAAAATCAGAGGTATAAAATGTGAATATATAAAAGCGTCTATTACTTGTCACAAAGGAATAAAGTCGTTGAACTGCACGGTGACGAAAAACATTATCCCCACTGATAATGGTAGTACTGATGCTCAACCTTCGTATGCTGTCGGAACTTATAACTGTTACCCCACTCTCATAATATATCAATATGTTTGTCAATAATATATGACGTGAGAGAATTATGACTGTGCTATTTTAATTTTTACGCCTCGAGAAAAGCAAAATATGGCTTCAATTTATTGGTGTCGAGCATGACATTAATCGCATTGTCTTGTAGTTTTATTTGTATCATTTCAGATATTGATCTTTTTGTATAAAAATTTTCAATATCTAAAATATGTGTGTCTCGCCAGTTGAAGTCATGATCTGTTTTTAATCTATGTTCTGTAACTTTTCTATTAATTTGGTTCTTATGTTTGTTAATTCTTGTTCAAAGTTTCCTTTTAGTCTGCCCTACATAAGTTGTATTGCAATTGTTGCAATCGATACGATATACTAAATTTTTGTTCTGATCATGTTCTAAAAGATCCTTGAGAGTTTTTATCAAACAATTTAACTTATTCAAGCTCCTGTATGCCAATGAGACGTAATCATTTTTATTTAAATTTTTTATACACTTAGATATGGAATTTGATAGATTTTTGATGTATAGGATCACAAAGAAACTCTTTTTCTTATAAATGTAAATACAAAAGTGAAGGCCAATCGGATCAAAACACAGGTGTATGTGTGTTGAAATCCAAAGTTTATTACAAATTTTGTACAAACGTTTCGACCGGGGATTCGGTCCTTATCAATGTAAATCTAATAAGCACAAATGACAATATTTTAACAAAATTGACAATATTTTAAAAAAATTAAAAAATTAAAAAAATACAATAATTTGATGTAGTAACTGTGTTAAATACAAATTGCTGAGTGTAATGTTAATTGAGTTATAACCACATATTTAAACAAACATAAAATTAAAAATTAAAAATATGTCAATATTAAAATTCGTCAAACCATGACTGAACATCATCGTGGTCTTAGTGAGACTAAGCAAGTTGTTCAAATNATACACACAGAACAAACACACGCTAGACATCAAAAATTATCGATTAATGGTAAATAGTTAGTATCCAATAATTCAGCATCGCTCTGCAAGTTCAATGGATTCTTTTGACATTTGATATAAAGCATTTCAGATACAAGACGTTTATAATATGATGGCTCCGTGTC